AATCTGTTTTTTTTTTTATGCCACAGGAATCTGTCCCAACTGTATAAGAAAACCCCACATCTTTATCCATTTTACATGGCTTAAGAAAAAATTGTTTCTCTTTCCTACAGAGAGGACTGAAATCAAATAGAAATTAATGTTATTCATTCAGCTAGTGATGTAAATTTACTGCAAATTAATTATATAAAATTCCTAAGTGTGGTAAACATAACTTGACAAACATGTTGTAAAATTTTGATTAAGCACAAATGGCAAAGAATAGCAATGACATTCTTTCTTTTTTTGGTTTTTTGAGACAGGGTATCACTGTCTAGTTCAGACTGCCCTAGAACTCACTGTGTAGCCCAAGCTGGTCTTGAACTCACAGTGATCCTCCTGCCTCAGCCTCCCGAGTGCTGGGATGACAGGTGTGCCACCATGCCTGGTGGCAATGACACTCTTGATTGAAAAGAACAACACAGGTAATTTTTCCTATCATAGGTCAAGAGGTATTTCAATGCTAAAATGTGTAAACTCACTTGTGGCATTTGTCTGAGGTAAGCACAAGTGATCAGTAGAATAAATCAGAGATCTAGAAAAGTATCTGGAAATGTGATGTATAATACACATGTGTTTTTAGTCAATGAGGAAAGGCTAAATTATCCAATAAATGGCAGTAGGGCAATTGGGTATCTGTTTTTAAAAAATTGGATGTCTATTTAACACCTGATACAAAAGTCAATTCCAGATGATTAAAGATTTAATTATAAAAGGTAAGGCCACAGGATATGTACAAAACCTAGTGAAAGAAAATCCTTTTGAGTTTGAAGAAAGGAATTTCAAAATGTCAAAATGTGCTATGTTTGTACATTAAAATTAAAGAATATATTCAACAAAAGACATTGTGAAGTAAGAAGACAAGCTATAAACTGGAAGTAATTTGCATACATACAGCAAAGGTTTTATATTGATTTATGTATATGTATAATTCCTACAAATTTATATGAAAAAGACAAACAATCCAGTAGAAAAATGGGGCAAATATTTAAAGTCACAACACAAAAAAGATTAAGAAAATAAGCTTAATCTCATTATTATTCTGAGAGATCAGAATTAAAGTCATATTACATTTTAGATTGAAGAAAAAAATTTGCACACCGTATAGAAGGTGATAGAGCAATAGGAATTACATTTACAGTTGGTTTGGAAAGCATTTGCATTGCTTGGTAGAATTGAACTTTCAAACCAACCATTCCCATGTTAGATACATAATCTTATGAAGTGCTCATCGTATGTCTAAGGACACATGGACAAAGAATATTATAACAACATTGCTGACAATGATGAAAGAAGTGAATATAATGCAAATGTCCATTAGCAGGATGAATAGTCATGGTACGTTCACACCGTGAAATACTGTGCAATAGAGAACGAACTATAATTACTGACATTAGCACTGATAAACACAGCAATGCAATATTTGGTGATAAAAACAGGTTGAAAATCAATACATAAGAAGTTATTCCATTTATATAAAGCCTCCAATGACTCAGAAGTAAATATATTGCTTAAAACTCAAATGTCATACAGTCGTAGAGAGAAGCAAGGGACTGGTAAACACAGAATCCAGGACCGTAGATATCAATGAGTGTGGGGTAGAGGAGGAATTAGGATGTTATTAGGCAAACATTCCTAAGGCCTTCAAAAATAACTGTTTCATTTTTAATAAGGAGCACACAGATGTTCATGATACCATTCTTTGTATGTGAATACATGTGATAAATATTCCTTTGTACCAGTATATTTAATAAAACACACCAAAGAATATTTGGTAAACATTCAGTTTACAATGTTCTTAGCTCAAACTTTTCTTTTTCTCATCTAAATAAGGAATTATTGCTGTTGTTTTATCTTGCACCTGCTAGTTAGGGATTAAAATAAGCTTATTTGACAAGAAAGTTTGTTTAGAGAAGAAAGCAGTATTCTTTCATATTGTTGGCTTTGTAGAATAGAGGATGAGAATACAAACTAGGATTCTGCACATAGCAGATGATCAGACAAAGGGCTAGCTTGCAATTAAAATAAGGAAAGGAAAGCAGAGTTGGTTTCAGTTTCTTCTGAGGAAGAGGAGACTTGGCTTCAGAGTTTTTCGGTGAACTTTTTCTTTCACTTAGTTGCTGTGACTGCCCTTAGGCCGGTTTCCTGGGGCTCTACTTTTCAGGAGTTCCAGGGAACCCAATATCCTGACCGTTTGGCTCAGGGATCACGAAGGGGCATGGTGGTGCGGAGTGAGGGTTTTTGGCTGCCCGTTCTGGGATAGCTGCACCAACCCAGCTAGAGAAGCTGGGTACACACAGAGGTCAGGTTTACAGGGGGAGGAACGGAGGGTGAGCAATCACCAGCAATTCGGGGCAGTGCTGCCAGACAGTCTAATTTATTTCTAAGTAATCAACTTGAAGACCTTAATTATCTTGATTCCTTATCGGCCATCATCATCTTCATTATAACTGCGTTTACTGCCTCCAAGAGCATCTTGGGCAGAACAGTTTCTGTTCAAAGCCAATTTAAAAACTGAGTCTTGTCTTTCAAGAGTTTGTGAACTAGGCAGTAAAGATGAAGATGTGGTAAAGAAGGGGCATAGACATTAAATAAAATGACGTTAAACTAAGGAGACTGCCTTAGTGGGAGATTCTATTGCTTGTATTTGTCAACTGTTTTCTTTTGCTTCTGTTAACGTTATGGGCCCAAACCATGCAGACTGATTTCACAAGCTTTGGCACCTTTGTTCCATAAATAAAGCTTGTTGACAGTGATTTATTTATAGTCAATATTTTAATTATTTTAAATCCCATAGTTACTGGAAACAGAAGAATGAAAACAGTAATTTAAGTGTCAGAGAATCGTATTGATGCAGAACACTGAGCTAATTATTTGTTCCTGTAAACTGCACAAACATTGCCAATACATCAGTCATATGTTCATTGTATTTGATGTACAATTTTCAGGTGTACGCTAACAAAATTTCTCCTTGTGGGCTTGGCTGTTCATGGCTGCTCCAAATATCTTATTTTTGATAAGAGCCTGTGTAGTACGTGGGCTGCAGGGAGAAAGCACAAACTTGGATTCCGATCCTGATTCTATCACAAGCTAGTTATTGGACCCCTGGAAGTTATTTAAAGTCACAGAGCCTCCACTTTCTCGTCTATAAAATGAGCATAATAATTTCTATCATATAAATTAATATTTTACATAGAACATATAGTACACCGTAATTGCTTCTTAAATATTATTTCTTTTGTAGAAGAATATAAAGCTGTAGTAAGTTATTTCATTAGAGTAAATAAAAGATGAAAGGGATAGATTGTAATTCACCTGCCTGAGAAAGCCTTCAGCACTTCAGGAGGGCTGACCCTTGACGGTCCCCGTGTTCCTGCAGGCAACATGGGTCTGACCCCTGAGTGGCAGGGCCAGATCTCCGCTCTTTTTTACCTTCACTGATAACAGCCTTTCCAAAAATAAGTAAGTAAGTAAGTAAATAAATAAATAAATAAAATTGAATATAAAATGTAGAATTTAGATTTTAAGGTGTTGGAGATTGTGCTGACAGATGATTCAGTTTGAAAGGAAATGAAAAACAATTCAGTTAAGCATTTAGGAAATGCATGTGAAAGATACAAACAAAGGAAGTAAATGTTCAGATTATCTGCTTGGTGTAATGAACATTACTGCTCTGCTCAAATTATAGTTCCTTTTGAGGCTGTACTTTTACTTAACCATTATATAATTATTTTTTCATAATTAAGGTAACACAACATATTACTTTTGGGAAATGAGGTGAAAAATATGATTTTCTTTTCAGACTTTTGCCTGTTTATTTTTTTGGTGGCTTCATTCATACTTTGTATGCAGCTCCTTAGTTAATATTCTGTAAAGGCATTTTAGGGTGCTAAGAGACATATTATAGTCTACTTTATATTTAACAGATTTTTCACTGTGAGTAGTTTAAGTAGTTTCCAAAATTTTACTGTAATACATCAGTATTGTGAAGAACAACTTTACTGTTGGAATTTTTCAAAGGATTTTAATGTGTAGGTCATTTCAGGTTTTCTGAGGAATAAAAGCTCTCAGAACAATATTCAAGTCCCTCAGGTCCTTCTCCTTTTGCCCAGCACCATTTATCAATCCTGATTTCTATCAGGTTCTGCCTGATGTGTGACTCGCTTAAATTGCAATATCCTGTTAAAGGCAGTTATATTTAAAATTTAGCTTCACCTAAACTAAGTCTTAGCATAAGGTCAATGAGAAAGAGAGACATGTGGAAGAAGAAAACAAATGGGGAGAAGGGAAATATTTAAAAACGGTTATAGAATTCTATGAACACATTTGCTCCTAAACCCAAATGAGAGCGTTCGATTGAGCTGCGTAAATGCTCTTTTGTCTTTCATTAACTCTACCTTTGCTTCTTATTTTTTCTTTTATTTCCCCTATTTCATCCCTCTTTCCAGGCTGTTCTTCCAAGGACTTTGAGGGCTCCGTGAATTTTTCCCTCGTCTTTGGACCTTCTCGCATTTTCTGCTTTCTTTCCTTATTACATTCTCAGTGTCCAGCAGTGCGATTCAACATCTACTGCTGTGAGGTACAATGCAAAGTTTTGGAAAGCCAACAGAAAGTAATCCAGAGTCTGTTTGGATAAAGAGGACGATGGGCTGAGGGGAGCAGTGGGAACTCTGGACATGTGAAGGCGGACTAGAGTTGGCTAAGTGAAGAGTAGGGCTGTACACGTGTGAGAAGCACATTTCTAAGAAGAAACAGACTTTGCAACGCCATGAGGTGCGAGGGAGCGTGTAACCCATGAGGAAGAGGAAGGCCAAAGTGTCTGTCTGTGACCATACCCTTTTAGTGTAGAGACCATCCCCACATCTCAAAATATACAACTCAGTTGTCTACTACTTTCCTGTTACCATCCTCTTTGGCTAGTCAGGTAAAATCTTCTAAAAATCCCCGAGTCCCAGTGCATTCACCTTTTCTCATCGTGTCTGTAAGATGAAGAGGTCCGACCACTGGTCCATATGAACATCTTAAAGGATGTTGGTCCAGGGGCCCCTTTCCTGATGGTGGAAGTCCTGGAGGAGTGGCGAAAAGACCTAGAAGAGGAACACACTGAAGTTAAATCTATTTCTTTGTTTTTTGGAACTCTGTATGGATATCAACCAGTAGCCTTTAGCACACTGTCTCTCTTAATTAATACCAGGTATTTGATGCCACAAGGGTAGCGGCTCTCAGTCTTGACAGCACAGTAAAATCTACTGGGAGTCTTAGAAGACATGAGGCCTTTAGAAATCTGCACTACAGGTTGCTCCTTTAGAAATCTGCACCCCATTTTTAAAAGCTCCCTTGTTATTAACCGACAGCTAGGGCTGAGAGTCCCTGCTTTAGGGGATCATGGTTTTCTAATTGATGTTAAAATGGTTTTCTCCCCAAATTGTCTCCTTCAAAATATAATGGAGGTATGGATTCATACTCTACAGAATGCCACCTTTCCCCACATTTTGGTTCAGCTCTGAATGCAAGGTCATCTTTAAAGTTGCTGTTGCTGCTGCTGTGGCTTCAGCTCATAGCAGCTGAGCATCTGCCTGAGAAAAATCACTGCAGTGGTGGTGGCGCCAGATACACAGTGACTCCTAGAAATCAGGTTTATAGGCTCCAGAGATAAGATGTCACAGGAAGGTCGTGTTCTTCTGGTGATAGCTTGGCTTTGGGTTTTTTTTTCTGTCTCCAAGCATAGTACTGAAAATAGGTATTATTATTCATTTCCTACATTATTATTAGGAAGGATCATTAAAATATTAATCAAATATAAAAGTTAAAATGATATATAACACATCAGAACAAAGGAAGGAAGAGAGGAGATTGCTTCATAGATGTACAGTCAAGACTGGCTTTCTTCTTGGTTAAAGTATAATATGAATACTAAGCATGAGACTGGAAATAATATCAGTAATAACATTACCACATAGCTACTATATACCAGGCACTATGCACCTATTATCTGTACACAGAGCATACACAAAATGCGTATTGATGTATTCATCGTGAAAACCTTGTAAGGTAGGGGTGCTATTATTTCCAAATTACAAATGATGCTTTCATGAGATTCAGATATTTGTGTATATTTAGAAACAGTGGAGCCATGCTTCAAATCCATATTTGCTTGCCTCCTGTTCTTACTCTCTAAAGAGACATGTGGTCCTGTCCGGTGCTCCTGGAAGTTTAACACCCACACAGATTACCCAGAGTCAGTTACAGCGCTGATTCTGATTCAGTGGGAATAACCTGGGGCCCAAGATTCTGAACTTCTAACTGGCCAACATTGGTGATTTGCAGACACACTGAGTAGCAAAGGCTCAGAGCTTGTACTCAGAGTAAGAGGATGGTCACAGGCCCAGTTTCATCACTAACTAGTGGGTGACCTTGAGAGAGGCAGTTATCTCTGTACTATGGAGATATAGAAACAAATAACCTTTGGAGCCCTCCAATATTTTTCAATTTAGTTAAATAATGAATTTAAGCAGGGCCGGAGATTTAGCTCAATGGTTCTGCCACCTGCCTCACAAGCACAAGGTCCCAAGTTCAATCCCTGGTACCAAAAAATAAAAATAAAAATGAATTTAAGCATATAGTAAGTCATTGTGAAATGACTTTCTTGGAAAAGATCTTGGAATAACTTTCTTTCTATACCCTTGAGCCTGTATCAGAGACTTAGGAGCAGAGGAGGTGGAGCATATAGCACAGGTTTTGTAATTAGCATAGAAAAGCAATCATATGTCTTTGAATGGTTTCCTAGGATAAGTGAGTGAAAGTGTCCATTTGAATAAATATTTTAGATAGTTGTAGGATGATTTAGAAACTGAATCTGCCAACTCTTCAGTTTCTTGGATTTGGGATTTTTAAAGCTACTTATGTTTCTTTTAAAATATCTTTAAAATATTGAATACATAATGAATAATTCATTATCAAAATTAGTTAACCGTCAGACAATGAGGATGATCTTAATCTGAGTTGGGTAAATTACTTTGCCAGAATGTGATCTGTATAAACTTTTGGGGGTATTTCAATATGTATTCAGGTGGATTTCTCCAGTTGCTTTAGCTATTTCTTTAAAGTCTTGGAGATATAGAATGGACAAAGAAAAGCGATATAAGTTGAGTCTAGGTAAAGCAGTGAATTCCTCAGTGCTATCTTATTACTGGTTATTAGCCAGCATTTAAGAGACAAACCACAGAAATAATAAGTGCTTTGAAGTAATTCAAAATGAAAGAGGTTGCAATGATATTTAAGATACTTTTCAGATCGTGTATCATTTTAGCATTTGTGCCTTAGCTCTGTTGTTTTAAAATGATTAGAAAGGGGGAAATGAAAGATGCATTTACTTTAATTAACTGTTTAGAGCATGTTGGAAAGGACTTAATGACTCCTTAGATTATTCCAATAAGTGCATTTGGAGTTTCTCCTCCCAAGTTTTCTTTCATAAAGACAATCTGCTACTTAAAACCTGCTAGATTCATTGTTAATTAAGAGGAAAGGGAGAAGCTGCTTTAAGGACAACACGATAAAGATTCTGTGGAGGTTGAAAAAAATTCCAAGCTTCAAAGAAACAAAGAATTCGCAGCCTGTTAGTGGAAGCTGGTTTGGAGGTTCTTTTCCATCTCAGAGGCAGCCCCTACTGAAGTTCTTAAGAAATTAACTCACTTGTGCTCACTTTATAAGTCAAGGATGATTTCATTTGAATTGTGATTAGGAAAGTGGTACAAAAACAAACAAAAAAATCCTAAATTTTTATGATATTTTTCAATTTGAAATCCCAGAGTGAAACAGAGACCCGTGTTATGCCAGTGACTGCCCAGGAATGAGGGCAGTGGAGAGGAAACCTTGTTCTTATTCTACCATTAAAAGGTCTAGAAATGGGGTGAACCTCGTAGAACCATCACTGGAAGACTGCAGACTAATACTGTCTGAACACCAGAAGCCCCAAAGATCTAACCTAGACCTGGAGTGAAAAGAGTCAGTAAAAATGTGACAATTTATTTGCCACGAATTTATAAAGGGTCCTTTTTCATGTCCCAGTCTCACTCCTTTCTGTCTCCTTCCTTCAGCTCCTGCTATTTCCTCTACCTCCTTTCCTGGGGTGGAGAGGAGTTAACCTGAGTCAAGGCCATCACACACGTTCTCTCTTCTGTGAAGACTTCTGTGACCCACACGAGCAGCTTCCTCATCTCTGCTCCTAGTTGATGGTACTTCTGTCAAGAGTAAGGTTCCATTTGTGCTGCTTGTACACAGATCTGCCTTCCTGGCTAGATTGGAAGCATCTCCGGTGCAGGCCTGTGCTTTATTCACTTATTGCACCATGCAATACCCAAGAGGCACAGTGGTTATGTCTGCTGCCTGGAACACCTCAGTGTCTATAGCACAGTGTGGCCACTGGTGTGACACTGGCCTCATGCTCTGTGGCTCATCCCGGCTGGCTACAGTTGACATCTTCCCGATCTGTGCCTTATCTCAAGCTGTCTTCCCTTCTTTACACTCCATGTTCCCTTTGTTCCTTTTATTGACATGAACAGAAAGTTTCTATTGCTTGCTGAATTGTCATTCAATAAGGCTTTTTAGAAAGGGTAGCGGGGCCTAATGAAAAGAAGATGAGCAAGAGCACCAGATGTGACCATTTGTCTGTTTACCTCCTGGCATCACTACCCACCACCTGTGTGACTTTGGACAAGCCGATTTAACATCTCTGAGTTCTGGTTTCCTCAGCTGTAAAAATGAGAATAATAATAATACTTGTCTTTTGGGGATATTTGGAAGATTAAATGAGACAATATACACACAAGAACCTAAACTAGATCATGGCACATAATAGCACAAACTAAACATTAGTTTACTTGTTTTTTTACCTGTTATTAAACTTAAAAACAAATGGATTGGATTTTTTGCTTTTTGTAAAAACAATCCGATTAAGTTGCTTTGTAATTGTGCATTGAGACTATTGATTTTTTTTTTTTTGGTCCTATAGGGATGTTGGCAACAGAGAAAATATTGAGATGATAAAATCTGAAATACTTCCTCATTCGGACTAAATTATGATACCATCCTGAGCAAGAGGAACATAAGGAAATGCCTCTGAATGTGGATTAGAGTCATCTGGGAAAGCTTTTCAAAAATGCTGGTGCTGGGTCTCATCTCAGATCAAGGAGAACCTCAGGGAGTGGGGCCCCTGGTGTTGCTATCTCAAAAAGGCGGTCCAGGTAATTCTGATGGGCAGTCAAAGAGAGAAACACCACTACAGTCTCTCAGGTTCTGAATGAATACAAGTGGGTCCTGTATAGATCCTCCCAATCTCTAGAAACTTCAACTGGAGAGTAGCAGTTCTACAAGCACAGCTCTGTGCTGTGGCTTCTGAGCTCCTCTCAGTGCTGGGCCTCTAAGTGACAGCTGCAAGGACAAGTAAGATATGGAACAGGGAAGGTGTAAAGTGAACATGGTTTTCTAGTGTCAGTGGCCTTGAGCTATGCAGATGGGATTCTTTTAATGCACTCTGTTTTATTGAATGAGCAAGCAGGAGCCAACAGAACCATTTAACACATAATTAAGTGCCAAATCTTGCATAAAATTGTACCACTAATGACATCACAGTAGTAACTTAGAAGGTCACCCTAAGCACAGAAATTTAGGGCTGCTTCTAATGCACGAGACTTTATCTCTTCAGACAACAAATTACATGTTCTCCATAAGAGTTGAGTTGTTTTGGCTTCAGGGCATTTGGAGAAGAAACCATGTGTATGGGGATAATTTGAGACCTGGTGATTTAATTTAGAAAACATTGATACTTACAAGGAGCAACTTTAAATGTCATTGGAATGTTTTCCTCTAAAATCACACACTTTATCCCTTATTTTAGTTTATTCATTTGCATATATATTCACCAAGCTTTTAATAAGTGCCTCCTATGTGCCAGGCACCATACTGTGTGCCATGGACACCAAGACATTCAGTCCTGCCCCAGAGGAGACCACAGTTCACGGGCCAGTCAGAATATCAAATCAACATTTAAGCTATACTGGTTACGGAACCTGCTCTTTCAAACCAAGGT